CTTAATAAAAACATCCAGTAAACGGAGAAGCTAATGAGACAATACAAACATGAACCATGAACCATCGCATGAATCATATCGCTGAAGCTAAGGTTTTTCCTTCTGGAGATTCCGAATAGTTGAAATTGGTGACACACGGTATGAATTTATATTTTTAGAATTCCTGGTCAAACCAACTGTCACGGTGAGAACTGGTTAATTTCAACATGTTCAACCGACAAAAAATGTATGCAAGTTTACTACATCAATAAAAGGCTGTCCGACAAATCTCTGCTTAATTAAATCTTCTGTTAAAAAACGCCTATTTCTTGACTTTAAGACAGATATTCACAATTCCAGGCGACATACCCAGTAGTCTTTGGCGATTACCATTTCAAATACATCTTGGCATATTTTGGTAAATGTGTGCACCGTTTGCGCAGTGTTGCTATTTTATGTGACTCGAAGAGAAAATAATAACGTAAAGCAACTAAGGGCTAATAAATAACGAGTTTATTTATTATTTTTCAAACTGACGTAGAATTCCACATAAACTACATAACCATTATAATAAGCACCAATGCGGGCAGGCGCATTTAGCTGCAGCAATATGTCACAATGTGCACGGAGAATTTCAAGAGTATAATAATATAATTATATAGTTACCGTACGGTAACTAGGTAGCATCTCGATTTGTGGTCTGCAACACTGCATACTCTATCCAGTAGCGAGCGTCGGGTTTCGAACGAAAAAACTGGTTAGTTCCTAATAATAATACCTTCCACAAAACTCGGAGTGAGTGAAAATGCCATATTTCCTGTTTTCGTCGTACACGTCACAACAAATAAATTACACGGATCACGCACCATCATTCGGGTATATCACTCATCGCGCAGATATGCATTATTATTCAATATCAGATTGATTCATATTAGCATTCGTACGTTGTAATATATATATAATACGCATAACAAAGTTCGAGCTCTTAACAGTCAACGTACGGGCGGATCTGAATTACCACTGCACGTCTCATCTGGTGCGGCTACGTCACCAGTTAACATACGGCCTGCACGCGACATATAGGCCTATACGAGTATTGGCACAGTCAGGAAGAGTACAGCCAAATAAGTGAAATCCAGTAAGAAGCATTTTCTAAAGCTGTTTTTAACCTTGGTGTTTACTACTTGCGCCTAGTACATTGACTGCGAGGGAAGACTAGAAAGTTGCGGTACCACGTCTGTAGGCGTGCGTGCGCGTGTGCGTACATGCGTGCATGCGTAAGTACTTTGTGTGTTTGCCATACACATTCGTGAAATTATTCTATAGCTCTAACAACTCAATTAAACTCTTTTCGTTGAAACATTTTCATTACTGACATTGCACATTTCTAATTGTTGGCCGAGTAAACGTACAGCTATTGGATAATGTATTTTGTCTCATTACATAGCATCTTACATTGTACGAGGAACTATCTGGAGTACGAGCATCCTCTCAAATAACACAAGGCAAACAGCAATTTAAAGTATATAATGCGGTGAAACATGATGTATGAACATTTATAGGCGTCTGCGCAACTGAATGAAAACGATGTCTATTCAATTAAATCTACACAGAGTTATGAAGACTACTAGCAGAGTGCAAATCCGTGTTGCGCCTACAATTCAGTGCGTTGAGATCGTTTTAGGTCACGGCATCCCGAACAGTCCCTTAAAACTCGATAGATTCGATCAGTTTCGCGATAACGCTCGCATTCTCGCGTAGTTTCTCCAGCTCGTCTTTCGTTCAACCGCTGCAACACATGATTTCCGTTACTCATTCTCTCCCAGAACGCAGGGCAGGCTCAAGCACAGGTCCTCTCGATCCCATGAATTCCCTGCAAATATGTACGCGGATTTTGCACCAGCGTTTCGCAGTCGATAGCGTGTCACCGTATGACAGTGACCAATCAGCCTTTTATTTAGTTAGGATCATAGTTCGCGTACCTGGGCAAACACTGAGACGGCGGCCACGTCGTGGCGGATGTGCGTGCTAGGCACTGACGAACACAGCGTTGACACACTAACCCCAATTGCCCATGACGTGTAGCCTTTCAGCTTGACAACTTCTTGCGCACTAAAACATATCAATACGTGCTGATGCTCCTACTACGCACATTGATAGCATATATATATATATATATATATTAGTTATGTCTGTAGTGCTGGCAATGTGTGTCCTGTCTGTGTGTTCGTGGTGTTGTGTGTGTGTGTGTGTGTGTGTATGTGCGCGCGCGCGTCGCGCGTCCAGTGCGTGTGCGTTGGCGATGCGTGTGCGTGTGGCGGTGTGACGTTGTGCGGTGGCCATTGGGTGCGTGTGCGTCTGTTCGGGAGGTCCGTTGCGTGTGTGCCGATGTGGGGTGCGTTGCATGTGTGTCTGCGTGCGTGTTGCGGCGCGGTGTGCGTTGTGCGTGTGGCGTGTGCGTGTGCGTGCGGGCGTGCGTGCGTGCGTGCGTGCGCGTGTGTGTGTTGGGGGGAGGGGGGTGCGTGAGATTTTTATGCAACGCGGCGAGATTACACCATTATCCGCAAACCAATTCAGTACCCTAGTTATTGAGCTGATTTCATGAATTCATATAGATACACAAAACTATGCGCTCACATACGCGTACCCGTAATTTTTCCCATCCCAAATAATGCAAATGTTTAATGCCACCGCTTATTCTCATTACGTTATCCCGTTGATTATTCTATCGAACTATTTGACTATTACCCGATCTAACGTCTATCAATCTATCTATGTGAAGGAAAACGAGGTACTGTGGTATGCTGCATCACCTGTCTTTAACTTGCGTATGAAGTGAACCCCAATCTTCTGGGTCGGACTCGGTTCCGATAGCCGAGTTAATATCCATGAGTCTAGATCCGGCTACGTTAACGCCACTCCACACAGCAACTGGGACATCAAGAAACACGGATTCAATGAACGTGAATGGTTACATGCGGAGTACTATACTACAAATAACAGCATATATGTCGTCATCTTTTTTTATTTTTATAAATGAAAGCTATTACTGTATTATGGTGCCATTTTTCCATATATCGCCATATGGTGTTCAATATGAACGACGTCAGAGTATTTCATGAAGTCCTTTATAACATGTTATCAGGCGTGTATAATATAGAAAAATAAATAAATATGTATATAGTATATAATATATTATATATTATTCAGGCCTATACATATATACCTATATTATATATATATATATTTATATATAGGTTATTATATATATTCAGCGAGCTAATAATGACAAAATTATTAGTCCATTTAGTTATTAGTCATTATTAGTCAATTAGTCAAATTATTTGTCATTATTAGCCTCCTGATATATATATACATTATATATAGTATATATAATACATTACTATATATTACATATATATATATATATATATATATATATATATATTATACACTCCTAATGTTGTAGTAGTGTAAGCCAATGTCATGTCTATGTCCTTACGCGTCGCACAGAAGGATAAGGGGACAAATATAATACCGAAAGATTAGGAGAGCACAAACGAACCGTAACCTTACCGCTGGAGTCTCCATGCTCTCCGATCACCCATCCATGACAGCTAGACGGCGCTATTCCCAGCCTCTCTCCCATAAGGAACCGGAAACGGGAAGTATCCAGATTTGTCCCGCTTCCGAGCACGCGATTCCTAGGCAGCCCGCTGATTTTCCATGCAGCATAGGTGAGGACCTCTACCGGGTTCGAAACGATGAGTAGAATGGTGTCGGGGCTGTGCGCGACCAGCTGCGGGAATCACATCTACGACGAAAACAAGAAACAAAGTTAACATCACAGTCTTGCCATAGTTACAATGTCGAATAATTCACGTAGTTTCTATTGGTATGACGATAGAATATATATACAAACATATATACAAACACTAGTATATAGAGCTGAACTAGTATATTATTTGTATTGTAATGACTGTGAAATAATTAGCGCTTAAATTGATTAGCTATACTCACCCTTCAGAATATCGACGTTCTTCTGAAGCAGGTCTGACTGCATGCGACGGGCCCCCGCTGTGAATATGCAAATCTGCGAACCAGCTGTTATCTTGTAGTCTACAAGATCAAAGAATTCGGCAAACGGGTATTTGTCAGTCATTTCCCTGAGATTTCTATCGTCAGGATTAGAAAATACTAGTGATAACCAAGACACTCTGGCGTATCGCTGTGTTGATATGATCTGGATAATTGATAATGTCAAGCTAAATCTGTTTGTCAACATTCAGCGTTTCGATTTTGTTCCAATTTTTTACCGGGTGCCAGCCTTGATGGTTATCTTTTTCATAAATGCGAGTCCATGTTGCAGGTCAAGCATTTTCCCCTTGCAGTTTGTTCTCATCCACGTCAATCAAGCACAGCTCACTGGCACGTGCTACAACGGGAAGGTAGCGAAGCTATACAGGCTCATCTAATTATTTTCTTTCGCAACATAAAGTTTGTTAATAAAAATGAAACTTTCATGTAAATTCGTATATCCTTTGTTTTCGTCTTAGAATAAATTATTTCATGACTAAAGCCTTAGACCTTTTACAGGGCTACCATTTGACTCTAATTGTGGTACATTTCTTTATTTTTTGTGTTTATATACTAATGACACGTGACTGAATTGTTTAAAGATTGTCGTTTTCTATTTGCCTGATGCCATTTGATTTATTGCAATATTTTCGGCTATCACGGGATGTTTTACATAAATGACGCGTTATTTGTTTTGAAAAATAAAACACAAGTAATGAATATTGATAATAGGGAATATATATAACAAAATATTGAAATGTTCGAAGCCATAATTCCCATTAAACATTCAAACAAATAAATATTTATGCGGCGTGAAAATACCTGATTTTAAAATGAAAATCATGATTAAAGCGGAGGAGTCGCTGTTATCATTTAGATTGCTCTGTACATAATCTTTTATGACCGTTATGTTATCAGCGACTTTTGTCGAAATAATTAATAATATATCGGTAGAGTGGAATATTATGAGCTGCTATAGTACATTCGATGCGCGAGTCAGGTGTTATTAAATTTACAGGGAGCAATCATGTGTAGGTAGGTATATACATCTCTAGGTTCTATACTTAAGATACATTATACCAGGAGGTTTTAATATAGAGATACACTATACAGATATATAAATAAATAAATATATATATACTAATATATATATATATATTATATATTCTTATTATATATATGACTTTATCAGATAGATACGCAATCTTTCGAATAAGTTCTATAGTTTTTTTATATCATTATACACCAATGATAATACCTGTAGCATGATGCTGAAGGCACACGCCATGCCGACCTGACCAGCTCCCACAACTGTGATCTTTGCATGCGGCAATTCTTGACGTGGCGCTACGGTCTCCATAAGCCGTGTCTTCACGGACTCGATAGTATCGCTTGCCATGCTAGCTTCTTATCGTCGTCACACTGTGTGGAAGTGTCTAATGGAGCAATTTACCACTAATTATGATATAATTATTGAAATTTTAGATCTCAATCTCACATCTCATATCTATAAGATATGATTTCGTCCGCGCTTGCTACGTCGCATCAAGAATAGATAAACGCAGTGAATTTGATAGCGCAAAACGCATGCAAAGTTAGAATAACGATTGTATTAGATTACTTACCTATCTGATGTTCTTTGCTAATATAGCTGGTATGCATGTGAACGGAAGACATGTAGAAACATTAATTATTCACCAAGCAAACTAGTGCATATATATATATATATAATATATATATATATAGTATATATATATATATATAAATAATCTATGGGCAACCCGATTAGACGTGTCGCTCCTAATTACACATACAGGAAACGTTCGTACAAGCAGGTGATAATATCATAAACATGTAGCATGTCGGGTATGTTACTGCGGTTATCGATGGAAAACGACCTGAAGTGAAATAATGAAGACGGGTCATTGTTTTTTCGTTCATAGCTTTAATAACGTCAACAACGATGTCATCAGCAGCACCATGGCTGCACTTAAGCTCTATAGTGGGTGCATCAACAACGGCAACAACAGCACATATAGTGCGCAAATATAATTACGCGTGTCTTTTCGATATGGATATGGTTAATATAAAAGCTGCCATCATAACAATATATGTTATTACATTTATATTTTACGTCTCGTTAAATAAACTTTTCTTGCGCGCAATACATAAGCACCAAAATCAATTGTAGAAGAGGAGTATTCTAGCAGTTCCGGTACAAGTAATTTTATCCCCTCTCATCGAGTTGTTACACCGTTTGACACAAATCTTTAATAATCACCAAAACCATTATGCAGTACTGCCTATGTCAAGCAGTTAGCTCGTTCTTCCCACCACCACATAATATGATCCGATCAAGGCACCTATAGCACTTCCAGCCACACATATCACAGCCCGAACATGATTTGAGATCAGCCCTTGTCATTCTCCATCTTATAAGAGATCATATTGCACTGACTAGATTTACACTGACTAGATATTTCCAGTTAGGAACTGAGGAACCTTGCGTTTTGCGCCGTCTTCAGAGTTTTTTTTTACACGTGGCACATAAACACATAGGCGTCGAACTACTGTTTGCAACTACCTGAGCATCAAGCGCCTGACTACAGCAGTATTACAACAAAAGCAAACCTACTTGTATTATGATTACATTAATTGTTACGAAAGGCTAAGACGTGACGAAATGTATCAGCATGCGTCTGACGTATTCGTATTTTTTCAACCGGTACAATCGAGTAATTCAAAGTTGATTAATAAAGCTTAGCTTAAAGGTAGCTTAATAACAAGAACGTGTTCGTTCCCTAGTAAATATTTTATGACATGGCTATGTATAAGTTACATCATGCTCTAGTTCTAGAATAAGCTGTACACGAGAGTGCAGTAGTTACCTCGCGTAAGAAATACAGCATCTGTATAACAGCAATGGCAAAGTAAAAGCTTTCAATTGGCACTAATAACAGCAACATATTTAACAAATCTTTACGAACACAACACCAAAAACTATCCGGAGACGCATTAAGAGTAGCTCTGTACTATGCGAACGTCATACTGAATGAACCAAAATGATTAGATTTGTAATATAGCATAATTGAAGCACATTTAAGGTTTTAAGCGCGTTTTCTGCAATCGAAGCAAGTTTACAGTTTCATTGGTGATTTTCGGTAGTTCTCGTAGTGCCAGTTATCCAACCTGTGTAGTTCAGCGACCGTCTTTGGTAGGACCCACGTAACATCAAGCAAAGCGGCTTTACCGAAAAACAGCAACGTTTAGGCGTCCGTAGGTATTCCCCGCCGTATTCCTTCCTCGACCCGTTTACCACTTTATCGTCGATATTGTCTGCCCCATAACCGTAGAGCTATGACGCAGCTTCTCTAGTTCTGAGTCTTTCAGCTGCTGCAACATGATTTCCGTCACACCGTTTTCTCCCAGTACGCAGGGCAGGCTCAAGCAAACGTCGTCCTCGATTCCATGAATTCCCTGCCACCGAATTAAAAACTATAGATTCAACACAAACATAGCTAACAGAACGCATCAGTACTGCACAAATGAGAACAGCGCCGTATAAATAACTAATAATATACATATATGTATATGTGTGTAATTATATGTATTATATATGGCGATATGTTGTCATTCGAACGACACGAACCACCGGAGGTTACACTAAGAAAGATAGCGTTCGATAGATGGCGCTGTTAGACTTACCTGGCAAAAGACGGACACGGCATACACGTTGTGGGTGTCTCGTAGTATAGATGAGCACAGAGTTGAAACGCTCACTCCGATGGCCCAAGACGTGTAGCCTTTCATCTTGATGATATTATACGCACTGAAATACGAATACATAGCAACACCTGTAGCAGCAGTTGCAGAATGCCAATAGATCGTTACCACTTTGATGATTGTCGTAATTATAACGTCACGTGTGCCCTCAATTGAATCGAATAAAACGTTGTGTACATTATCGCTCTTCTGCTCACTTTAGGATGTGAAACATCATATTGGGCGACAGCCGTAATAATTGTATAGGCGTCAGTAGACCAATTCAACAGATTAATCCCGTTGGATCTAAACTAAGTATACCTTTCTACGACCTCTTTGTGGAGTGACTGCCAGTTTTCTGGGTCATCATTAGTTCCAATTTCCGGGCAAAGAGAGACGAGACGGGTACCGGCAACGTTCACACCGCTCCAAACAGCAACTGTGGTGTATAAAATAGAGCCGGTTAGTGAAGATGAAGTTGGTAATTGCAATCTCACCTTGGTTTCAATCAATGCCTAAGATGTAATGATAACCTACGCATGCCAGTAGAGCGTGCGCTATACTTTTAAGGTTCGCATCTTCTGTTTTTCATACGTTGTGGCATTCGCGCTTCCGTAAACACACCAAATATATATCCTCTTTTTTAGAGTTGTTTTTTTGGGCTCAACCGTTTGTAAACAACCTTAGCCGTGGAGTCTCCCATGCTCCCCGATCACCCATACCATTGACAGCTAGTGGACGCTATTCCCAGCCCTCTCCCCCATAAGGAACCGAGAAGGCGAGAGGAATGCCAGGTTTGGTTCCGCTGCGATGACCGCGTCTTTGGGAAGGCCGCTTATTTTTCCAGGCGACAAGTAGGTGAGCACGTCGACAGCGGGTTGGAGACAATCAGTAGGATCGAGCGTGTCGGGACTAGTAGCTATGCACCAACTGCGGGATGATATCTAAAGCGAGAACATGAGAACGAGGTTTCAGAATACGAAGTCTACCCTCGAGTTTCACGTTGCGAAGGCAGGAAGAGAAAATATAGGACTGGGAACAAAAGGGTATATTGACCTACGTATAAGGTATCTATAATGTCCAGGGAAGCCGTCCAACCTCAGCGCGAACGCATACGAATACCTTAGAAATTAAATTGACATTTTTCGTTAGAATAATAATTTTTTTAAATGAATGCTTCCACAAATTTTTTTGATTAACAAATGATGAAAACATTGCTCAAATTCACACGCACGATGTATCTTGGGCGCGTGAGGGCGTGTCAATCACCAAGACCCCTAAATTCACGAGTCAGGGCAGTCTGCTTGCCTTCACGTTAGCTCGTGAAAACTACGTACGTTTAAAGATATTGACGTTCTTCTGCACAAGATCCAGGCGAGTTTCCCCTTCTCGCTGGCGCGCTCCTGCCGTCACGATGCAAATCTTCGAGCCAGCAGTGATGGCATAGTCTGAAATTACGCATTCGTGCCGTGTGACAAAAACTGAGCAATCAATTAGTTTAATAAGGGACTGATAAGCCATTAAAATGGCATGAACAGATTTTGTTGGAATTATTGAGGATATCATGATATTGATTGCTAATTACAGCCGGCTACAAATCGATTCCCACAGGCGCTTGCATGTGCTACGTCATAAGTGGTCCACCAGGTGGCGCAAACAGGTACAAATACGACCACTGATTATGCATATAGTACGGTGTACTGCTCACGTGCCCAGTAAATCGAAGCGGATATATCGAAACAGTTCATCTTATACAAGTTGTTATTCAATGTTATTCAACTGATCCATATTCAGCCATCGATTAAAAGAAACATTTATTTTATGACTATCCACATTTTCTATATGCTTTATTTGGTGGATGTCTTCAGATTTCTCGTCTAATTTTACCTACAAGAGGTTACGAAAGTACAATCGAGAAATTTCTGCATTGTTACCGGTGTCGGCCTTGATCGTGATCTTCTTCACAAATGCCAGTCCATGCTGTAAGTCCAGCATTTCTCCCTTTAGTTTGTCAGCCTGTACGTCGACCAAGCAGAGTTCACTGGCAACATGCTGGAACACAAGATGCATGATATCAGAAGTAGATAATAAGGAAGAAATGATAACAGGGAAGAAGTGACCCTATTATATTCTTCTGATGATATTGTTATTTTTAATTAGACACTAATTATTTATGGCGAGTGCAGATTGTATGTGTTTTTTGGTTGCTGAAATCTCGCCATTAACTTTTACAATACCAATTTTTACATGTTCCGTAGGCGAAATTAAGCATGTGGACTAGTAGATGTTTTTAACGCTTCATTGCAGTTTATATTATAGGCTACAGGTAAATGTTAAAATATTATACGGTAAGTGTCTATAACATTCGATGGTCTACGGACTATCATTTAGCGAGGAGAGTATAGAGGTGCGGATATCATTGCTTCTGGTCTTACCCGGTTATATTCACATACGTATATTTTTCTACAACGTTATTTTTTGTTTATCCAGCCGTGGTAGATCTGCTATATATAGCCGAGTCTATAATAACAAGCGTGTGGTCCCAGTCGACACCACGACGAACACACATCGTATACACAATATAAATTATAATTAGCAGCGCCAATATCAGGTGCAGAACTAGCTCACGTAAGCAAA